AGGCAAGGTGAGGGTTAACCAAGAAGAATGATAAAACACAAAGCATCAGGTACACTCGAACTGGATGAGGTGACAGCCATGCGAGCAAAAATTTTTAAATTAACCAACCAAGTGGCTAAGATGGCAATGGGTCAAGGGCATCAGAAGCAACAGGATCAGAGGATGTCCATATGTTGTGAAATTTGTAGAGATGGTCATCTGAGTGACCGATGTCCGGTGAATCCTGAATTTGTTTGTTATGTGGGCCAATAAGGTAGAGGTCCAATGAACTAGAATACTCAATATGGGAATACCTATAATCCCAACAGGAAGAATCAGTAGGAACCAGACAACTCATAATCAATACAGGCGTCAAGGGAACTATAATCAACCTCAAAAGCCACCTCAACAGGTAGAAGAAATCACTAATGATATGTTGAAAAAGTTGTTGATGGACAACTAGCAGCTTCGAACAAACAAATAACAATTCAGGACTAAATTTCGAGGTAGATTGGGCAGTTGGCTACACAACAAAATACTCAACCTGCAGGGGCCCTTCTAAGTGATACAGGTAAGAATCCTCAAGTAAATGATGTAACTTTGAGGAATGGTAGAGAATTAGAAGAAGTACCAAAAAAACAAAAGTCACTCCTAAGGATGAACTAGTTCCCAAAACAAAAAAAGCGTCGAAAGATGGGCGGCTGAAAACCCTAACGCTCTCTCCTCTCTCTAGGACTGGCGTGAACAGTAGCGCCGCTACTGTTCAAGGGCAATAACTCCACCATCCGGTGGTAGAAAATCACAAGATTGATCTCAAAAGAAGCTCCTACTCTTTGCGCACCATTCCCAATTGGTTTCATCCTCAAAATCGTACCCAATTGCTACAAATCGAATGATTAGCATCACAGTTACTGTAGCGCTATAGAAGATGCCATGGCTGCCATCGTCTCTCCCCAGCTCCAAGCTATGGGAGAGTCCATTCAAAATAATAGCGAAACAGATCCTAGTCATAATCCAAAACAGTCATATGCATCGCAGCTCATACCAAAACAATTTACCGCAAAATCGTCAAAGGTCGAGCTATATCCAGTAACGTTGGCGAATGGAGAACCAACTATAGAATTTACCATGGATGAGGTTAATGAGTTTACAAGATAATAAGGATTGCATCAAGCAGTTGTAATGAAGTTTTCATACGGTAAACCTGAGCTACAAGAATTTAGAAAAATGTTTTCGTCGCAATTCGATGTTCAAGGTCGCTGCAATATTGGACTGCTGGAGTATCGTCATCTGTTGGTTAGATTTGATCTCTACAATGATTATGTTCAGTTATTATCAAGATCAACTGGATATGTCAAGGCAAAAGGTGATGAGCTCTTTTTCAGAAATTTTTCATGGACGTTAGGATTCAATCCAAAAGAGGAAACGTCCATGGCAGTGGCATGGATCTCGTTTCCAGGTTTGCCGTCTAATTTTTTTGCGAAGAGGTCGTTAATGTCTATAGCTTCAGCTGTGGGTAAATCTCTTACTGTGGACAAGGAAACACAAGAAAGAATAAGATCTAGTGCAGCGAGGGTGAAGGTTATACTTGATCTTTTGGACAAACATCCTAAAAAGGTTAAGCTACTTATTGTGGATAGAATTTCGGGTAAAACTATCGTGCATTACCAGGAGGTGGTGTATGATAATATTCCTAAATATTGCACTTATTGCAAGCATCAAGGACATGATGAAAAGGTTTGCCGAGTGATGAAGGAACAAGCAAGAAAGGAGGTGATGGCAGAGGAAGTAACAGTTGGCAGTAATCTGCCGATCGTGGAGGTGATCAATACTGAGAAGTTACAAGGGGATGCTAGAGATTATTTGAATGCTAAAAGAGATCTCCAAAGTGTTGTGGAAACAATAGTAAAAGACACCAGTAATGGGCAGCAGCAGGTACTGAAGATGCAACCTAATGAAGTTCAAAATGGTATGGCTAATGCAGGGCATGATCGTGAAGGGGTTATGAGTACTGTTGTTGGTGTGATTGACAATACAGCAGCACCACATGATACATATGCAGTTGTGTCTATAGAGGATGTATTAAAGTTGGACAAGGGGCCACCTAAACCTTCAAGAGATGTTCCTGCCTCTACTATTTTTGCAAGAATGTATCTAGCTACTGTTGGTGCAATGCAGGCTGATGCTGATCGAGCAAAATATATTATGGTACCTGGTGATCGAAATTCGGTGGGGCAAGATAAGATAGGTGTAGGGGAAGTAGATTCTGCTACTGCTACAGATGCTAAGGGTAAAGAGAATAAAACATCTCCTGATGCATTGAAAGACACTACTGATCACGTTTCTGTTAGTGCACAACATGTGAATGGAACAATTGATAGGGCAGTTGGAGATCTAATTACGGTGGGAAAGGATAAGCTTGATGTTGGGGCTATTTCCTCAGGTGGTAAGGTTGGTATTGAGGCTAAACACACTCAAGTACCAGCTAGAGGGGAGCAGCTAACGATTGCCAAACAGACCTCTGATAGAGATGCTGCTGCCCAGAATTTAGGGGTTATAAATGATGGGTATAAGGGCAGATTAATGGAAGATGGAACTGGGGATACAGTGGAGGATGCTAAGGGTGTTAATACCAGCAAAAAGAAAGAAGTTTGGAACGTGGTAACTGCTAAAAAATCATCTGCTAAGAAGTTTGAGGCATCGAGGTATGCAGCTTCAACAGGCACTAAGTTGGGGAATGCAGAGACTAAACAACTTCAAGGTTCAGCTGGAATTATGCAGGAAGCAAATGGGGAATTTAAACATACTGTTTCTGTGAAACAAAGGGTGAATCAACATACTCCTACGCAAGCTCATTCATTTAGTACAAGTGCAGGGCAGGTTCTTGATAATACAGTGCATTCAACTAATGCTCCAAGAAAATCAGATATAAAGGGGAACAACTACACAGGGGTGACTATATCACCTAGCAAGAAGCAATCTCTAGTCATTCAAAATAATATTGTACCGTCAACAACAATTGGGATTTCAAATTGTTTCGACACTTTAACAAATGACGACGAGCAAGCTATAAATGGGTCAGACAATGAGGAGCAACAGATTGATGATGAGATAAAACAAATCATGGATACAGAAGGCACTACAGCGAGTGAAAAAAGCAGAAAATTGCAAAAGGCATAGGTTCACAACTTGAGATCGCATCTGTTAACGATCGCACTTGTGAGGCAAATCAAGAACATGCTGCAGTTACTCCTACAATGAAAATTTCCAATCAGGAGCTGGCTAAAATGGTAATGGATGCACCTGCAGCTATGATAATGAACACAACTACAAAGATTAATGCACCTCTAGTCACGCTGAATACTTCAGTCTTTGAGATACCATCCCAATCGATGGAGTCTTTTGGTGAACATGCTGATGATTCTGGACTGCAGCTAATCTCAACGGGCAACAACCAACAATCAAAGTCAGGTATGATCTCACTCTTTCAAGCATCAACAAATGATATAACAGGCTATAAGGAGCAACAAGGAGAGACGAGTGCACTGACAGCTAATAAAAAGATTTGGGCTGATTAAGTTGAGGAGGAGGAACACGATTCTGCATAAATGTATTTAGGTACTAACGAATATGCAGCATCACTGTTACCTGCCACCCCACGATCAAAGGAAGCATCAGAAAAGGTACAAAAAGAGCAGGTTTCTATCTCAACATCAACTGCTCCAGAGAGGAGAGGTTTGAGTCCAAACACTGTTGTATTTGTACCTTCGGGACAGCAACATAAGACAAATAATTCAGCAGATTCAAAGGAGATCCAAATTTCATCCTCAAACATGGCAGTAGCTACTGGAATTAGCATTTCAATAACTGCAACATACAATTTGACACCAACAAATATCATCAACGCTCTTGTTTCACATAATATGGAAACATTGAGAGGTCTTGATAATCAGAGGAAAGAACAAATAGCACTGTCGAATGAGTATAGACATATTGACGATTTTGGGATGCATATGGGTCAAGATTTTTATGAAAAAGGAGAACATGATGCACTACTGGATGCCACCTTCAACATTATAGCTAGGGAGGGAGATCTTTCACCAAGACATGTGCGAAGCGGATCCAACAAATATAAGAAGAAAGCACTAGACAGGCAACATAGTTGGGACGACAAAGCAACACAAGAGATTATCATTAGGAAACCTCCAATGAGAAATGCAAAGCAAAAGGCAGTTGTACCTACGACCTCTAAAAGGTCAAATAGGTCAAAGAGGAAATGATAAAGTTTGAAGAATTTTTGAAGACAGTGGAAGAGGAAGCCAATGAGCTACAAATTGCAGAGTTCACAAGGTTGAAGAAAGAGGGGCAAGACTCAATTTTTTACATTATTTTACTTTATCACTTTTTAAGTATCATCAATTGTAATATCATCATAGAGTATGTTATAAACTCTGTGATGATCATACAGTACCTAGTTCTTTCCAGTTCTTTTTTTCTTCATGCTTGTTAGTATATGAGGTTTCTTATCACTCAATAGGATCTGTAAGGTAAGGTCTAGCACAATATGTGTGTGCTTATATTCTATGCCTTTGGGAAGAAAAACGGTTGTGAGGTTATATGCCCTCGTGAGACTTGCCAGCAGCTACACTATGATCCTCTATATGAGGCTGTCATCTTAAGGCAATGAAGGCGCAGAGGAGTGATTATATAGCCAAGGCATAAAGTCAACACTACTATAGCTTTTGCCCTCCTTACTTGTACTCCCCCGTTGTGGTTTTTCTTTTCTTTTGTTATTAATAAAATAGCTACTAGGCAACCCGCCTAGTAGTATATTTGCCAAAAAGAAATAGTTCCTAAAACTGTGGTGGAAACTGAAAGAAACTAAAGAAAGTTAAAAGTGTCCAATTTCAAGGCCACCACCTCCCTTCACACAAATATTGAATAAGAAAAGTGATGAGAGGATGTTCAACAAATTTATTGATATGTTGAGCCGAATTCAATTGTATCTACCATTGGTTGATATGCTATGTGAAATCCCAAAATATGCTAAGAACATCAAAGATATTGTGGCTAACAAAATAAGGTTGACAGAGTTTGAGATAGTGGCACTTACTGAAGAGTGCACCTCGAGAATTCAAAGAAAGTTACCGCAAAAGTTAAAAGATCCGGGGAGCTTTACCATACCTGTTCGAATTGGTGAGGTAGTTATTGGACGACCATTTTGTGATTTGGGGGCTAGCATAAATTTGATTCCCCTTTCAATTTTCATTCAATTGGGGTTGGGAGCCCCAACGCCAACCACAATCATGTTGCAGCTTACTAATAGAACTATTGTCCATCCCGAGGGGGTGATTGAAGATGTGTTACTACAAATTAGGCAATTTATTCTTCCAGCATATTTCATTATACTGGACTATGAAGCAGGTGAACAGGTCCCCATCATCTTGGGACGACCACTCTTAGACACCATTGATGCTGTCATAAAAGTTTGTAAAGGAAAAATAATTCTCCGGGTTGATAATGCGGAAGCAGTTTTTAATGTGTACAAGGCAATTTAGCTTCCAAGTCACTATGAGGATCTAGCTACGATATATGTGATTGAAAAAAAAAACAAGAAAAAAATGATGTGGGTGCATATCTAGATGAATCTCTAGAGAATGCACTTATGTTGTATGACAGCATTGACTTGGACGATGAGGTGAAGGAGATAGTGCATCATCTAGATGCATATGCTTACATCAAAGGAATGATCGATTTTGAGCCTCTAGATAGACCAACTAGGCCACCCCCCAAGTCGTCTATCGAAGAAGCTCCTAAATTGGAACTCAAGCCCTCACCCTCTCATCTTTATTTTGCGTATTTGGGTGTTGATGAAACTTTACTTGTTGTTGTATCTTCTGATTTATCTGTTTTGCAGGGAAAAAATCTACTTCGCGTGCTTAGAGAGGACAAGCGAGCGATTGGATGTACCATGGATGACATTCATGGTATTAGACCAGCATTTTGTATGCATAAAATTCTCGTGGAGGATGGGCACAAACCAAGTGTAGAACACCAACGCCGCTTGAATCCAGTCATGAAGGAAGTGGTAAGAAAGGAAGTCATAAAGTGCTTGATACAGGTATTATCTTTCCCGTCTCTGATAGCAAGTGGGTAAGTCCAGTACAATGTGTGCCTAAAAAGGGTGGAATCCAGGTGGTCAAAAATGATAATAATGAATTAATTCTAACTAGGACTGTCACATGTTGGAGAATTTGCATTGACTATCGGAAATTGATTAATGCTACTAGAAAGGATCACTTTCCCCTTCCCTTTATTGATCAGATCTTAGATAGGTTGGACGGACAAGACTATTATTGTTTCCTTGATGGATAGTCCGGCTATAACCAGATATCAATTTCACCAAAGGACCAAGAGAAGACCACCTTCACTTGTCCTTATGGTACTTATGCTTTTAAGCGAATGTCATTTGGGTTGTGCAATACACCTACGACTTTTCAAAGGTGCATGATGGCAATCTTCATTGATATGGTAGAAATATTTGTTGAAGTATTTATGAATTATTTTTCGGTCTTCGGACCTTCTTTTGATGAATGCTTAACGAATTTGATTAAAGCGCATGTCAGGTGTGAAGAGACGAACTTAGTGTTAAACTGGGAGAAATGTCATTTTATGGTACGAGAAGGAATTGTACTTGGACACAAGGTGTCCAAAGATGGGTTGGAGGTGGATAAGGCAAAAGTTGATGCAATTGACAAATTGCCACCTCCAATGTCGATCAAAGGAGTCAGAAGCTTTTTGGGACATGTAGGTTTCTATCACAGATTCATTAAAGATTTTTCCCCCTTGAGCAGGTATCTTGAGAAGGATGCGCCTTTCAAGTTATATGAGCATTGCTTGAAGCCGTACGAGGAGCTAAAAAAGAAATTGGTTACTACATCAATTATTACTGCCCAGACTGGGGAGAGCCTTTTGAGTTGATGTGTGATGCTAGTGACACGACAATTGGGGTCGTATTGGGCTAGAGGAAAATTAAAGTGTTCCACTCAATTTACTACGTTAGAAAAACTCTAAAACCATCTCATATGAACTACACAGTCACAAAAAAGATTTGCTAGCGGTAGTATGGGCGTTTGACAAATTTACGGCTTATTTGGTAGGAACTAAAGTCATCATCTACACAGACCATGCAGCCATCGGGTATTTGTTTCAGAAAAAAGGATGCTAAGCCTAGACTAATTCGTTGGGTTCTTCTTTTACAAGAATTTGACATGGAAATCAAAGATCGAAAAGGGATAGAAAATAAGGTAGCGGACCATTTGTCGCGCTTGGAAACTCGCGCACATGTTGAGGAAGGGAGCGAAATTCAGGAAAGTTTTTCTCATGTGAAATTGCTAGTTATCAAAGCGGGCATGGCCCTATGGTATGCTGACTATGTGAACTTCATTGTAAGTGGGGTGACTCCGTTAGAGTTGTCACCGGATGGTAAGAGAAAATTCATGCATGATGTTAGACTTTATCTATAGGATGAGTTGTTCTTGTTTAAGCATTGTGCGGATAAGTTGGTGAGACAATGTGTTCCTGAGGAGGTGATGGAAGAAATTTTACATGATTGTCATGCATCAACGTATGGGGGACACTATGGTGGAGACAAAACGGTTGCAAAGGTGTTGCAGTCGGGATTCTATTGACCCAAGTTATTCAAGAATGCACATGATTTTGTGAAAAGATATGCTAGGTGACAAAGGACGGGTACAATTTTGTGAAGGCATGATATGCCATTGAAGGGCATACTTGAGGTCAAAATCGTCGATGTTTGGGGATTAAACTTCATGGGACCATTTCCAGCATCAAATGGCCATCGGTACATTTTGGTTACAGTTGAATATGTGTCAAAGTGGGTTGAGGTTGTGGTTGTGCCTACGAATGATGCTAAGGTGGTGGTGAAATTTGTGAAGAAAAACTATTTTTACGAGATTTGGAACTCCGCATGCTTTGATCAATGATGGAGGTACTCACGTTTTTAACAAAATGTTGGGCAACATCTTGGCTAAGTATGGGGTGAGACACAAGGTCGCAACTGCTTATTACTCGCAAACCAGCGGTCAAGTGGAGGTTTCAATTAGGGAGGTGAAGAAAATTTTGGAGAAGACAGTGAGCGCAAGGAGGAGGGATTGGGCTAGCAAGCTAGATGACGCTCTACGGGCATATCGCACAGCATACAAAACTCCAATTGGCGCTTCACCGTACAGGTTGGTTTATGGAAAGGCTTGTCACTTGCATGTTGAGCTTGAGTACAAGGCATATTGGGTAATCAAGAAGCTCAACTTTCATATGGATCTAGCTGGCGAAAAACGGATGGTGCAACTAAATGAGCTCGAAGAGTTTCGCTTGCATGCATATGAGAATGTGAAGCTGTATATAGAGAAAGCAAAGAGATGGCATGACAAAAACATTTTGCATCGTGAGTGTGAACCCAGTCAATCCGTTGTATTGTTCAATTCAAGGTTGAAGTTCTTTCCTGGGAAGCTCAAGTCTAGATGGTCGGGTCCATTTAAAGTAGTGCGGGTTACAAAGCATGGAGTTGTTGAGCTGAGGATTCGAGAAAGTAATGGCATATTTTTAGTCAATGGGTAGAGAGTGAAAGACTATTGGGGTGGTGGGATTTGTCACAAAACTTCGATAGACTTGGTGGATGTGTGAGAAAATATGTTATGTCCAGTCGCGACGTAATATCAGGCGCTTGTTGGGAGGCAACCCAATATTTATTGCTTTCGTAGCTTAGTTTTTCTCTTTTTAGTTAGATTAGACTAGAGTTTGTTTTTGTTTTTCTTTGTAGTCATAAATAATGTAGGTAGGAATGGTGTGGGATGAGTATAATAGATGTACTAAGTGCTCGGGTGGATCAGTGATTTCATTAAGAAAATCAGAAAATCAGCAAATCAGCGCCTAACACTGCCTGTGACACAAAAACCAGGCGTGAAATTTCCCAAGCACCAGGCCTAGCGCGACGCGCTGGGCTGGGGGGCTGGTAAGTTTAATTTTTTTTTCGTTTTATTTTATTATTAACCCTTGCCTCAACCCGGATACCCGTTTATACTAACTTAATAACACATGCCCACTACCCATACCCATACCCATTCTCAATCTAATTAAAATAACTCTAACCCCCAATTCCCCCTCTCTCTCTTGTTTTCTCTCTCCCCACTCGTTCCCTTTCTCCCTCTGTCTTTCTATCAATCTCTCCATTGATCTTGCTTGCTTTCTATGCCAACTCACAAGTATATGTCTTCTTCTTCTTCTTCTTTCTTTTCTTGTATTTTTTGGTTTTTTTGAGCTGTAATCCCCCTCCCCATCCCAAACGACCCCCACTCCCAAGTTTCCCCTAGTTTTCTCTTTAGCACTTGTGTTGCTATGGTGGGTGATATCAATGTGAAAATTGGTTTGTAACTTTGGTTGTGAATATGTTATACGGAGTAGTAAACTACAAATCCCTCTACTTCGTTAAAAATTTGGGAGGGTACTCATGATCCACCATTGTTGAAATTAAGAGACACACAATTTATGCCTACCGCCTATTTGATAAATTGCTTGAAAGAATAAATTGTGCACCGGTGAAGTCTGAGTAGCCGAGTGTGTTTGTATGTGATTTTGGGCTAAGTGTGGGTTGTTTGGGGGTGGTTTTACATAGCACGAAGCTTGTGTTCAATGTTCATAATACCATATTCGCACTACCCACACCTTGTATCATATATAATATATATTGTATCCTCTTGTTAGAATTACTTAATGTATTGTATTAGATGTAGTAATGGGAATCAACTGTTGCTTGCTTGCACTACGGCTAAGTCATGGCCGTAGTTGACTACTTGTATGTGAATGGAATAACACTTGGAATATAATTGTGTTGCATGGGGGAGTCTTGAGTACCCATTGCCTTGTGGTGCAACAATTGTTCACTTGTTGAACAACTATTGTGAGTCTATTGCATAGAGCCTTTGGGTAAAAGTGTGGGATCGTATTTGACTTTCTTTTTAACCTTTGGCGGACTTCTTGAGTGATTCTCACATCCAAGTTGATTGTTTTGTAGGTTGCAATGGCTCGTGACGGTGCTAACAAAGGAAAAGGAGTGGGGAAGTCCCCTACTACTGCTCCTCCTTCTAAAAAGCGCAAGCAAGTTACTAACAGGTCAAGGAGAGCACCTTCGGGACCGCGACCCCAATTGGATTTTGTTCGTGAGTATGTTGTCTAGTGGTACCACAACTTCGAGCCATATGGGCAGTATGTATCTGAAATGGGAATCAATATGACCACTTTGGAGAGGAATTTCCCCGATGTGCTTGCTCGTTTGAAAAGTATGAAGATGGATAAGTTCGTTAAGTGCCTAGGACATGCAAACTTGAGCATGGTAAGGGAGATGTATGCGAATTGGAACGAGCACAGGTTTATGTCGTAGGTAAGGGGGAAGGAAGTTCCATTGGATAGGGATTCGTTGTGCGAGTTCTTAGAGGTTGATTGCCCAAAGCCGAGGAGGTTGCAAAAGTTTGTAAAGTGCCCA